GAGAGGGTCGAGAGAGAGAGAGAGAGGGTCGAGAGAGAAAGAGAGAGAAAGAGAGATCTTCTTCTTCTTCTTCTTCTTCTTCTTCTTCTTCTTCTTCTTCTTCTTCGTGCAAACCCTGCAGCGGCGCGCGCCGCGCGAGCACGCCCGTCAGCAGCCCCGCGCTGCCCTGCGGCCGCCGCACGGCCGCCGTCGTCGTCGCGCGCGGCCTTTCCAAGCGCGCGACGGTTTTAGTGACCGTCCGCGGCCGAACACGGCCGCGCAAGGCCGATCACGGGCGACCCCGGCCGCACGGGGCCGAGCGAGGCCGTTCGCGGCCGACATCAGTCGGGCGGAGCAGCCCGCCTCGGGAGGCCGGTCGAGGGCGGCCGGCCGGGGTGCTGGTTGGCCGTAGCCTGGAGCGACTACAGGGGGACTCGGCGGGGGGAGTGGTGGGGGCGTCAGGGTGCAGCGACATCGAGGGGGCGCTACATCGATGGTGTGGCACGGTTATACGACATCGGCCGAGGCGGACACGACTTGCTGGATCCTTGTGGGGGGGGCGATGACGGGGGGTGTAGGGACCAGCGGTGCGGGGGGGTCTGGGGGTGCCCAATTCAACCTGCTGTCCGAGAAAGAGATGGCAAAGCTGAGGCGAGGGAACATTGTTTGGAACTACGTCACCGCGGGCCATTACGTCGGGGACCTGTGGAAGATGCACGGGGACCGAAAGTTGCGTTGCAACTTATGCGGCCACCTGTTTCAGGGGGGTCGTCGAAGGCCGCGCGTCATTTCACGCAGTCGAAGTTCTGCAAGGCTAGGGGGATGAGAGTTCTCGCGGAACTCTGGAACGGCACGGACTACACATTTATGCCGTCCACTGCTCAGCGGGTGCAGAGGTGGATGGCAGACAAGGGCATACGGGACACGAGAGCGCCCACGGGTGGCCAGAGACAGTCGATGGACGACGCAGAGAGGGACGACATTCAGGACGCCCTTGATGAGGAGGAGGCTCAGGAGAGCCGCAAGGGTGGGGCCAGGGAGGGGGCGGTTGCAGACGAGGCAGACGAGGCAGTCAGAGAGCCTAACCTACCGGGGGAGGAGGTGGTGATGACGTCGAGAGGCGTCGGTGGAGCGGGTCCTGCTACTAGGGCGCCGCGAGATGAGCTGGACCGCGCAAGGAGGGAGAAGAGGACAGTGGGGCAGGCTGGCGTCGAGGTGCCAGACACGGGCAGGGAGAAGAGGGCTCGGCAGACCACGATTGTCGAGATGTACGCCAGGGAGAAGTTGGCCGAGTTCCATGACGCGTGGCTTCAGTGGATCTACGTGAAGAAGTTGCCATTCAACGCCTTCCATGGTCCTGAGTTCCAGAGGGTGCGGCAGGCAGCAGAGAGAGTGCCTCGCTCTATCCAGTTCCGGTTTCCCTCCTTCAGGGTTACAGCGGGGGCCGGTATCCCTTCGCAGAGGGCGAAGGTGGCGACGATGGTGAGCGAGGTGCACACCACTTTCCGGCACAGCGGTGCCACTATCCTTTCCGATAGGAGGAAGTCGCGCAGCGGCAAGCTGCTCGTGAACTTCCTGGCAGGGGGCGCCAATGGCGCCCTGCTGTATGCCACCGTCGCACGTGATGGGTCGGTCCGAGACACAGCGGACGTCGTGTACTGTAGATGGCGGGCCATCATCTTGTCCTTTCTTGCAAAGGACGTGATCGGCTTCTGCACAGACTCCGCCAGTAACTATACAGCGGCAGCGCGCAGGTTCGCCACAGACCCCGAGCCTGACATCAGGAGGATCACTTGGCTCCCCTGCTCCACCCATGTCTGCAACTTGATGTTGTCAGATATCGGGACGCAAGTGGTGTGGGTCAAGGAGACCATCATCTGCGCTCGAGCGTTTGTGCGATTTATTAAATCGCACGGCGCTGCTCACGCCCTGTTTAGGAAGATGAGCCCTCGCCTTCAGCTCGTCGAGCCCGTTGAGACACGGTTTGCATCGGTTTTCCTGATGCTGACGTGTCTCAAAGGCCGACGAGACGTGTTGGAGAGCATGTTGCACGGGGATGCTTGGGCACGCATCCCATGGGATCACGCCCACGCATCTCAGGCGCAGTGGGTGCAGCAGCAGATCCGGGACGGGGAGTTTTGGCAGCGTGTCCATTACGCCATGCTAGTCATGTCGCCCGTCCACCAACTGTTGCGCAGGATGGATAGAGGTGGGATGATGATGTCCGTCGTTTACGAGTGGAGTCAACATCTGCTGCAGTTGATGAGGAGGGTCAACGTGTCTGAGGACATGATCGATCCGCACGTGCGTGAGGTTGCCATCCGCAACCTCCACATGCTAGAGCCCGCACATGCCGCGGCCCACCTCCTCAACCCTCGCCGACGGTCCCTCACGTATTACCATTCGCTGCAGACGACCGTCGAGGACCGCCTTGTGGTCGAGGAGTGCGACAGATTTCTCCTAGCGCAGACCGGCGGCAATCCAGTCGGGTTATTGTACAGGACCGTGAGGGACCAGATGAGGGCGTTCCACTCGAGGCGAGGGGATTGGGGAGATCGTGACCTCTCCGATGCCGAGGCGGCAGATTGCAGGGGGGACAGCGAGACTGAGCGATGTGCAGCGTGGTGGTTCGAGCATGGACATGCCCACCCGGAGTTGCGCACCATCGCCATCCGTGTCATGCACTTGTGGACGTCTCCCTCTCCAGGGGAGAGGAACTGGGCGGAGCACGAGCGCGTCAGCACGGCGAGGCGCTGCAAGCTTGGGTTCGCCAAGCTTGCACAGCTGGTTGAGATTGCCACCAATCTCAAACTGGCCTCGTGCGCAYGACAGGGTGGTGGCTACGTGTTGCCATGGGTTATGGGGAGCGGTCGGGGGGGGGCGGCGGCAGAGGAGGAGGATGAGGAGGGAGATGTGGAGCCCGAGGTGTGGGGAGCGCGAACTGATGGCAGTGTTTCCGAGCAGGAGATTAAGCGGCAGATTGTCGCTTTCCGTGACGGCCGACCGTCCAGAGCCCGTTCGGTTCGGGACGTGTTCGGCAGCAGAGCGACGGAGCTGCGACCGTGGCCGGAGGGTGGGGATGATGTGGACGCTGCTGCGGCAGACGACGACATCGACGACGACTGGACTGACGATGATGACACGCCGCTGAGTCGCGACCCGACGGCTAAGCGAGTGTACTTCACTTATGGTGGGGGTCGTGACGGCACAGATTCATTCACATCAGTTATCACTGGTGCTGTGCCGTCGACCACGCCGGCGAGTGGCAGCAGCAGAGCTGGCGATGGTCATGGAGGACGTTCGCATGCGAAGGTTCGAGTGGACGACTCGGAGGAGCAGCAACCACGGGGAGGTCTTCGGCACATAGGCAGGCGTTGGGAGGTTAGGAGCGACTGCGAGGCGGAGGGGGAGGACGAGGATGAGGAGGTGCACCTTCGCGATCGTCGCTTCTCTCCCTCCCATCATCCGATCTCTGCACAGCCCGAGGGGGAGCCACTTAGGCGTTCGGAGAGGTTGGCGTCGGCAGCAGGCAGAGACCGGACACATGACGGCGAGGATCACGGGGGGGAGAGGACTCCTTCCGACGCGGTATCCACCGCCGTTCGCCGTTGTTGCTCCACACACAACTTCGAGGACATAGGGCTTGGCGGGAGCTTGGGAGATTTGAGTGTCGAGGGACGTCGACGTGCCTCACCGCAGGATGTGCGCACAGACGCGGATGTTGAGCGGGGCCCTGTTGAGACTGAGGAGGAGAGGGATGCCCGTTTGGACCGAGAGGAGGAGGAGCGGCTGAGTAGTTTGCCAAAGTGGGAGGGTCGGTTCGCGTATCTCGACGAGCAGCGTCGGTAGAGGGACTTGGAGACAGGAGGGGAGGGGAGCCGTGACGTCGATGACTCGGGTGTCCCTGAGGAGGCGGTTCAGGGCGAGTTCGATTATGAGGGGCATGATGCCACCGCGGGTGTCCCTGAGGGGCAGGATGTTGTCATGGGCGGCGGGTCCCCTAGTGGGGGCCGTGGCGACAGCGAGACCGCGGGTGATGAGGGACAGGGTGCCGAAGTGTGTGACAGAGGAGAGGGTGGACCCGGTGGAGATGGGGATGCCGCGGGTGCCGGTGGAGACAATGGACTGGACGGCGACGATGACGACGACCACGGTCCGGAGGACGATCCAGATAGGCTCGCCTTGGTGTTGAGGGACCCCACAGTGCCTCCCATGCGCCCTGACAGCACAACACACACTTTCTTCGACGCCGACGCTTTGGCGCATGCATTGACGGATGACCATTTCGCACACATGGGCCACAAGAGCGGAAAGCAGCGGGCCCCTGGGAGGGCATATTCACCGCCGCCGTTCACAGTGGTGAGCCCTCACTGGTCGGGTTCGTCACTCAGTGGCGTTAGAGGTAGGGAGTCTGGTGCGGGTGAGGTGGGGTCCGGCAGACGCAGCGACGGCGGCAGAGATAGTGCAGGATCGATGCCTCCACCGCCCGCACGGACTTCGGAGGGCAGGGTCGACACCGGGGACCGGACGGTGGCACCCGGAGTTGCGCACAGTGGCGGTTCCCCGCCGCCAGTCCGAGGAGGTGTGGGTGGCGGATGGTCAGCTGCTCGTCGGGTCGGGGACCGGTTGCGGGCGGATTACGACGCCGGGAGGGGCGTCTTCACGGGACGTGCGCCTGCTCAGACGCCGGCTGGGAAGGGCAGGTCCGGACGTCCGAGCCTGCAGATGGCAGGCCGCATGCTTGGTTTGTCACGAGCGGAGACGAGGAGGACATTTGTCCTGGAGGCCCCAGGGACATCCACGGACAGACTGCAGGAAGAGCAGTTCACATCGGGCGAGGAGGGGTTGTTGATGCGTCCTGGGACGAGATGACAGCATGGCCTCTCAGAGGTTGAGGCTCGACTCGCTGCAGAGATCGCCGCTGGGCAGGCAGCGTTGGACGCGATCCAGAGGGAGAGAGAGAGGGGGATTGCTGCACAGGCGGAGGAGGACGAGGACGCAGATACTGAGTCCGAGTCGATCGAGACTGCGGCCCGCAGACACAGGGCACAGGTGACCGCAGCGGCCGCTGCAGCACATGCGGCATACGTCAGTGGGGCACGGGGCACAGGTGCCGGAGGGAGAGGAGGGCGCCGGGGAGGATCGCATGCCCGCGCGCGCTCTGGTGGGAGAGGCTACGCGCGCTCTGGTGGGAGATGACGACGTCCATGGTGTATTATTTTTTTTGTCATTAGTTTTTTTTTGCTACTCGGTCGGCAGGGTTGTAGCATATTTATGTTGATGTTGTTCCATGGAGGCGACGATAGTATGTGGACGTTAGGGTTTTTTTTTTTTTTTTTTTGCTACTCGGTTGTACTGTAGAAACGACGCCCGTCGACGGGTCCAGTTTTTTTTTGGTACTTTGTTGTGTAGCAAAGACGATGGGTCCAGTTTTTTTTTTGCTACTCGGTTGTAGAGTAGAGACTACGGGTCCAGTTTTTGGCTTCAGCCTTGTACATACACATTTCCATTAAAATGCTTTGTCATATATTTGCTCTTGTTCTTGTTCCTCCGCCAACATTGGTCTTGCATCTGAGTCGCTGTTGTTTGGTGATTGTTTTGTGCTCTGTTGTTTTCTGCTCTGTTGTCATGAATGTGCTGTTAATTTCAGATGCGACATAGGGATGATGTGCTAATGAATGTGTTCTTACATAAATGATGTGCTAATGAATGTCCATCAGTCTCATGAGTGAACACACACTATGACACACTTGCATGTTATCATTGTTTGAAACTTGTGGTTCGCCCAACTTCGCCGCATTGTGATTGATTTGCAATGTGTTTTGACATTGGTATGCCAAACAGGGTCTGACTTATGATTGCCATGAATGTGTTGTTTGAAAATAAGCGACGAACTGTCATCGCCCTCATTAATGAAGCCGACGCCTACCTTTCAGTGTGTGAGGCCCTGATCCACCTGCGGTCTTCCATCTGCAGCCCCGTCTAGCTTCGACCCTGCCTGGGCACACGGCCCGCCCCAACCAGGCCCTCATCCAACCCACGTTGGGCCGCCCCGGCAGGGGTCAAATATATATATATATATATTTTCACTGTTCCAGACCCTCCTTCCTGCGACCCCGCATCGGCGAACCTGCACACGGGGGCCGCTGGATTTTTCGCGGGCCACCCTTCCAGGGTCTTGTGCTGGACCCCCCCGTTTTTATTCTTTTAAAGCCCTGTCACTTTTAGGGGGTGCGCCCCCACTCCCCCACCCCAAACCCGCAACCCGCCACGAAACCCCCCCCCCAGACCGACCGTCACATCCGCCGAAAAAACTCGGCCGGGCCGGCCGAGGCCTGGGGGGTCCCGGCCTAGGCCGCTGGCCGCGGCCAGCGTGAAACATAGATTAGCATCCTCATTACGCCGGGGTCGTGGTTCACATCAACGACTGTGTTTCCCCGTTGTGATCGACCCTTCCTGTCGATAGAACCGCTGCTGCCCCAAATCGAGGTTGGCTATTATCTGGTGGTCGTTGTATTCGACAAGCAGGCGGCATTAGCCCGTGCGCCACTACTGTATAGCCCCCCCCCCTGTTGGGTTGTTACCACTGGCCTTGCACGACGCTGGCCACGCAAATGGCCAGCTGCGTCTCTACGGTGGGGGAGGGGCTCGGAGAGAGAGAGTG